ACTGACATGCATAAATCGACTCAGAATGTTATTCTATGAAGATCCTCTAAACTATGGGTCTATCTCGCTTCCTTCTCCATGTTACAAACAAATGCAAAACCCTTACCACTATCTGGTGTAGGGTATAAAAAAATAAATAAAATAAAATACATTTTCACAGGCAAAGCAACACCAAAATAGGTTTCAATCAACCGAAAACCCTTCAAAAGTTATTTGATTTGTCTAAAAATCTATAGAAATTCCCAAGATAGAACTATCATCTATAGTTCTTCTATCCATATGAAATCTCTCAAACACACTTTTATCTGCATGAAGGAAACCACTCCACTTCAGATTTCAGATAAAATCTAAATAAGTTTTTTTTGTTTTAGTCAATAAAGATTAGCATTGTTTTGGAGGCCATTTCATAGATAACCGGTAATAGAGAACTGTTGCCACTTCACAAATTATCTAGCGGGCCAGAATATTCTGTTCAATAGCTTGGTGGGTCTTTCCAAAAATCAAAAAGGGGGATATAGGCGACTAATCAATGCCCTATAGGACTAACATGAATGGAAACAGAGTAAGAATCGACATTTACACATCATCCACCATGGGATGGCCAAGTCGGATATACTTAACATTTCCATAATTCGGATCATCATATAACAGTACATGAAAAATATATAATACTTTTTGAGGTCTTGTTGAAAGTTAGGTACACAACATAACCAAGGTCATGTGCCAGGATATGGAAAAATATTGAATATTTTTATGATACAGTATTGAAAACCGATAAGAACCTAAATACCAAATAGTAGCCCATTGAATTGAATAATGTACACATTCTGCGCTATGTTTCTACCTCATCATAGTATAGGGTGCCAAAAAAAAAAAAAATCAATCATACAGAACATTTAGCAAGATTGGGCTAAATGAAAAGTGTTTTAAACGATGGCAAATAGGCGCAAATTTGTTGGTATATAATTTTTTTCTTTCAAATCCATTTAGTTCCTATGAACATACACATATACCTACCTACAAAGAGTACAAACATACATATATTCGTGTTGCCGCGCGCACATTTATTCGCCATTTGTAGCGTCCGAATGTTTGTTTTATGAGTTATTCTTAATGCAAATATTTGATAATATTTTGTTGTAGGTAGTTGGTTGGCGGGTTGGTCAAGAATAGAAATAATATGCAAAAGACAAAAAAAAACACAAAATGTTCCCTCCTTCCTTGCCCACATTCACATATACACGCAACCTATTAGACGACTTCGACGCGTCAAACATCAAACAAAGCGTTCGAATATATTTATGGCTATGTAAACATTTTTTTTTTGCTTTTTTCAAAATTGGCAAATTGTACGAGACCGCAACACGACAAACAAAAAATAAAATGGAAGATAACAAACCTCAATTTGTTGGTTACAACCACTGTTAGCCGGTTGAAAATGTTTACCTATTTTTTGTTTGGTATAGGACGTAAAACCCACAATTGATTTAAAAAAAAACCAAAAGAAAGTCGAGGGAAATTTTTTCTTGTTAAGAACTTCTAAACTATTCATAATTGAGAATATAATCTAAAGTTGGCTTATTAAAAGATCTTCCATCTATATAGGGTACAGGGTGAGATGAAAAAACTGCAACCAATTTCAGACTGCTATCATTTTTAAGCCACACGTCCGACAGCTGTTAAAATTATTCCAGTAACAGCTCATTATATTGTTTACAAGCGTAAAAAAGCATTTTGGTTAGAATTTTCCAGAAAAAAAGTTATTCGTGATGGAATTCAAGCGTGATAGTGTGATTTCTTTATATTTGGCTGGAAAACTACAAGTGGATATCGTTAGAGCACACCAGCATTTAAATGTGAATAAATCATTTGAGTCTCGTACCATCGCCCGACGTCAAGGAAGTGGACGGAAGAAAACAGCAACATCAGCAGAAATGGTTCGAAAAGTAAAGAAGCTATTTGAGGGAAACCCACGTCGCAGTGGCTGAAAAATGGCTCGTGAGCTGAACATATCGCAATATTCCATTCGGCAAATATTGAAAAAATGAGCTCGGGGTAAAGCCATTGAAATTCCAAGATTTTACACCGAGGCAACAGAAAGAAAATAGACTCAAAACAATTTTCTCCGATGAGAAAACATTTGTTGTCCAGCAATTTCTAAAAAAGCAAATGATCGTGCCAAAGAGGTTAGCTGAAAAAAGCGCCGGCCATGGTGATGGTGTGGGCCGCCATAACAGCCGATGTTCGCTCTCCGCTCGTATTATTTGACCGTGGTATCAGAATAAATCCGGATTATTATCGCGTAAATATTTTGGAGGGTGTATTAAAGCCTTGGGCGGGCAAATATTTTGGCCGCAGACCTTGGACATTCCAACAGGACTCAGCACCATCGCACTCAGCACGCGCCACCCAAGAATGGTTACAAAATGAGGTTCCTCGCTTCATATCCATCGCGCAATGACCACCAAAATCTCCGCTTCGCCGGGAATGGGCCAAAATACCGCAGAGCAAAATTCGGGCAGAGTGTTACGGTTTCATTGGCTGTTTGAAGACAATAATTCGTGCCAAAGGTGACCAATTCGAACAAATCTAAACTTTTTGTAAAATATGTTGCTATTTCCGACATTTTTTGCTTCCATTCAATTAAATTTAAAAATAAATCTAAAAGTTATGGCGTTTGAGTTTGTTGCAGTTTTTTTATCTCACCCTGTATATCAACTGATACAGCCAACACGTGCCTCATCGAAATAACGATTTTAGACCCTAGGTCTCTTTGAACCTAATCTGTTTCAGGACATTTGGAGTCAATCTGGCAATGATGAATATTTATGAAGCTCATAAAACACGAAATTAACATCCGATTCCATTCAGACTAGGTACATCTAAATATTTCCATCAACACAATATCTGTTATAAAGATGATAGAGATCGGATCATTCCATCTAGTACCTCCCCTACAAAGGGTTAAAATTTTGAATAACCAAAATGATCATATATCCGAAATAAGCATCCGGTTCCCTTCAAATTGCACACATCACAATATTTTTATTAACCCAATGTCTGGTGTGAAGATGGAATATATCGGTCCACTCCTTCTGGTACCTCCCCACAAAAAGGGTCAAAATTTTGAATATTCATTAAGCTCATAAAACTCGAAATTAACATCCGATTCCATTCAGACTTGGTATATCTCAATATTTCCATCAACACAAGATCTGTTACAAAGAAGGTAGAGATCGGACCATTCCTTCTGGTACCTCCCCACCATGAGTCAAAATTTTGAATAACCAAAATGATCATAAAATCCGAAATAAGTATCCGGTTCCCTTGAAATTACACACATCATAATATTTTTATTAATCCATGGTCTGGTATGAAGATAAGATATATCGGTCCACTCCTTTTGGTAAATTCCCCACAAATGGTCAACATTATGAGTATCCATGAAGCTCAATAACGTTTGATTCCATTTAGACTTGGCACATCTAAATATATCCATCAACACAAGTTCTGTTATAAAGATGGTAGAGATCGGAATATGCTTTGTGGTACCTCCCTACATAGGGTTCAAGAGGTTTGGAAAAACAAAACGCTCAAAGAAAGCAAAATAAGCATCCAACTCTTTTCAAATTTCACACATTCAGATACAGGGTTGTCCATATTCGACGGACGCATCTGGCAACGCCATAACTTTTGACAGATATGTCACATCGCTTAATGACATCCGCGTTTGAAGCGTCAGTCCAAGCTGATTTTTACCATGAACCAATACACGCGCTCTGAAATAGTTGAAATTTACATTCAACAGAAGAAGTCAATTGTGAAAACTCAAAACGCCGTTCTCAGCAGTTGGGCATGGCTCGGTCCACTTTACATCGGATTATTCGCATTAATTTGCATTTGTTCCGGTACAAAATTCAATTGACGCAAAGAATGTTGCCTGCGGACAAGCCTCATCGATTGGAATGGGCCCAAAAACAAACATGGATCCGTCGAATATGAGCAACACTGTATTTTTGCTAACGCAAGATCTCTTGTGAAGATGATATACATCTGCCAAACCCTTCTGGTACTTCATCCATAAAGGGTCTTTCCAATACTTATATCTGTCATAACTTGTCGGCTATTCCTTACTACTTGCTATATCGAAATATTTCTCTTTGCCAGAATTTTATGGATTTCCTTTAAATTATTTTTCTGTATTGGATGAAGTAGAAAAATGGAATACTTCGGTCCGCTATACGCCTCACGCATATTGCCACATTTTCCAAAAGTTTGTACATATTTGCAAAGTATAGGAAGTAGTCGATATTGTCCAAATCTGGCACGTTGTAATATTTATATCAGTCTTAGGTCACATACGAATTGGTCAATATTGGTCAACTGCTTCGGAACCTCCCCCCATAAAGTGTCAACAGTTTGAATGATCATAACTCAAGGCTGGGGGTATACATCTGCCGGCAAAACCGACTGACTTGTATAAAAAAATAACGATAAAAATTTTTAATATCGAACAAAACATCTTTGAAAATTCCAATCATTATCTCTAATAGTGACTTGTTCGAGTTAGAATTAACTCATCATTTCTTCTTAGCTTCACTTCTTTGAAATAAAATCTTTGAAATAAAGAAGATAAATGTTTCCGGAATTTCTACAATCTCTACAAGTGACTACCTCGAGCTAGAATAATAATTACTTATCTCCCCTCCCGCCTATATTTTTCCAGGCAGAAATAAGTTATGAGAAATCGAATTGAATTTGATAAAGATTTTAAGTAACCATACACATCTCCAGAAATTGCCAAACATTATAGTGACTCATACAAGTGTGAATTGTCTTCTCTTACCTTTTAACCTCTAATTCGAAATATATATTTTTTTCAAATAAGAAAAATATTTCCGTACATTCCCAACTGTTATCTCTAAAAGTGAATATTTCAAATTACAATTTAAATTACTCATCTTCTCTCTTTTCTCTCTCTCTCTCTCTCCATCTTTCAGAATATACAAAAAACCAAGGTGTCAACATCGGAAATGCTCTTCGGCCTACCCATGCAGGACACGGGCTTCAAACGTTATCCCCTCAGGGCACGATCTCGCATCATCCAGTATGCCATCACATTGATTCTCAAACAAAATGATCGGGAATATATACAATCGCTAAAGGAGAAGCTTCTAAAATATTATCCACCACCACAAATCCAGCAAGGAGGTACGTCGGCGACACCCAACCAGCCACATCATCAGCTCTCCGAGAAATCGTCCATAACCTATATTTTTTATCCGGGAGAATTTAAAATGTGGGAATTCCTGCCGCTCTCTATTGCCTTTGTACTGCTCTTTACCTATGTGTATTTTTCTGTGAGAAAAATCGATGTAATACGCTCACGATTTTTGTTGGCTGTCTGTGCTGCCATCACGATTTTGGGTAGTTTGGTTATGTCACTGGGTCTGTGCTTCTTTTTTGGTTTAACGATCAGCCTGCAATCGAAGGATATCTTTCCGTATTTGGTCATACTTTTGGGTTTGGAAAATTGCCTGGTCATTACGAAATGTAAGTATGAAGAGTAAAGATAAGGGGTGGATTTTTTAAGAGCTATTGGAGAGGTTTCAAAAATCTTTATTTGAAGTGATAGTACGGTCCATATAATTGAATGTTCTAATATTATGTATTCAATTCTCTTTTTCTCTTTCTCCCTCTGTCTTCTCGCCCACAGGTGTAGTTTCCACCGACGAAACCTTCGACGTCAAGATAAGAGTTGCCCAGGCCCTGAGTAAGGAAGGCTGGCACATCTCCAAAACTTTGCTAACCGAAATCACCATACTCACCATCGGTTTGGCCACATTTGTACCGGTCATTCAAGAGTTTTGTGTCTTTGCCATTGTCGGCCTCTTATCCGATTATATGTTACAAATGCTGCTATTTTCCACGATATTGGCCATGAACATTAAACGGCCCGAATACTCGACCGAAGCCAAACATTTACCCAAAATGATGCTTTCGTTTACGGGTGGCAACAACTCACACTCACCCACTGCGATGGCGGGTGGCTATGGCGGTCCCTTTGCCAGCAATGGACGTCCTGATTTTCGATTTTTTGGCAATTCCACAACGGCAAATGGTTTTTCACAACAACAACAACAACATCAGTTACCCTTTGGTGCTGGCAATTTTCATCGTTCACAATCACATCCTAAATTGGCTTTTGGCGATTTTGCCAATGGGCCACAGGGTCAGGAAATGAAGCGGTCTTCGATTGCATTGGGTGCCAACAGTAATCACCATCATCATCATCATCATCCCGATATACCGAAACGTTTGAAAATTGTTAATTTCTGGGCTCGCACTCGCTTCTTTCAGCGCGCCTTTATGGTGTGGATGAGTGTGTGGATATGTTCGATTATCTATAATTCAGGTTATTTGGAAAATCTGTTTGTGGTCGATGGCAATCGCACGGCTGGTGTTTATGGCAACTATGACATACAACGTAATTGGATGGCTGGCCGTGGTGCTGTATCGAATTTCTTCTCCAATGTCCATTCGGCAATTAATTCCGGTGGTGGAGATCCCATACACAGCGATGATGATCACAATCCCTATGGGGGTAATAGTGTTTTTGGCAATGGCCTTAATGCTGGTCATGAAGGCTCACCCGTTGAGGGTCACATCAATGAAACAGAGGCGGAGTTGAAACGTTTACTCTATCCCGATTATGAAATTAATTATTTCCTTTCGAATTTCCATTGGTCAACGATTATGAAACAGTATAATGTATCGCTAAGGGGACGTTATGTTACCATACTGCCCACCATTAAACTATCACATGCCATAAGTCCGGAAAAGGCAGTGCGAGGACGTAATCCCAATGAAAAAGTGGTGCAGAACTTTCAATGGAAGGCATTGGCCGCAGCCCTGGATCCATTGGACTTTAGTGATGATGAAAATAGAGAATCGCCGATGGTAATGCCTGGTGGCACACCACTGTTTCCCAAGAGTCCCATGGAGATATTCTTTGCCATTACGTTATGTTGCATAAGTGTGTTTGTTTTATGCTATACCATGGTGGTATTCTATCGTTGTATCTGTACCCGTAATTATGCCGAATGGCGTTCGAGCTGGAATGAATCTTCGGAGTTTATCCAGAAAACGGAACAGATACTTGAAGGTGTACCCATACAAATTGCCGGACACAAACATCGCATTGAATGTTTGGTGTCGGATGGTGCCAACATTATTAGCTGCTGTTTGAAGGGCCAAATCAAGGTGTGGGATGCCAGAAGTGGTGAAAACATCACCACCATTAACAGGGGTGACATACAGGTGACCACACACCGCGAAGATGGTGAGGTAATTGTGAGAAAATTAAATTCCTCGCCCGTCTGGTGTTTGGATTACTTTGACAATTTAATTGCGGTGGGCTGTGCCAATGGTCGCATTGAATTGTGGGAAATGCCATCTGGTATTTTAAAGGTAAAAACAAACATTGTTTATTTTATTTTTTTACAAACCAATTAAATTTTTATTGCTCCCCCTCCCATCCAACCATACAACAGTGCACTTATCATGAAGATTCGAAACGTAATCAGGGTATAACTCACATAAATTTAAATGGTGATCGTGTGATTGTGGCCCGCCTATGTGGACGTTTAGATTTCTATCGTTTAGAGACCTACTACAAAGGCAAACAAATCGATTGGGGTTTTACTTCAGCTTATCGAAGAAGTTAGTATAAATATTAATATATTTCCCATAAATTTAGTTTTTTATATTTTTATTCAATTTTTATAGCCCATGTCCGTACAAATTCAACGGGAAGCATTGGTTTAATGCATCAACAGCAACATCATCAGCAGTCGCAGCATCGAACGAATGAGCGAACAACAAATGAAGAAATGAAATGTACGCTAAGAGGTGTACGTTTGGCCCATCAACAGCCAATAACCTGTATGGAGGTGGTAAACGAAATGGTATTCACCGGCAGTCAGGATCACACACTGAAGGTATGACTCCTTAAAGGGTATTGGAATTCTGTTAATGGCATAGAAAGCCTATTTGTTTTCTTAGATAACCTCTAAGCGGGGACTAAAGAATAATTTATCTATGGAAGGCCTTATATATTCATAGAATGTTTAAAAAGGCCTATGTTTCTTCAATAGAAGGCATTCTTCTTTAGAAAGGCAAAATGTGTAAGACATCTTTTGAAGATCTGATGGTCAAAAAGTTTTTCCTTATAGTAGCTGTGATGAATGCAATTTGTTCATGGAAGGTCTTAAGGTGTAAGTATATAGAAAGCTTGAAGTCATGGCTAAGCATATTAATGTCAAATTATAATGGAAAACGACGGCAGCTCTACAATCCCTTTATGAAATGTCAAAAATTATGCCTAGCAATGACCTCAAGCTTCTTATATACTTACACCTTTACATATCTGTAGAAGGCTTAAACAATGCGTTGCCTAGGTATTCTTTTGTAGCATGTCAGCATGCCTTCTTCGTTAGTCGTCCCTATAATCTAATGATCAGGAGGTTTTCTTTTAAAGGGTACAAAAAGATTTTCTTTCATGGAGGACCAAGAGCCCTTTGTTTTCCATATATTGAAGATAAAGCTCATTAACGGTTATTTGATTTTTTTATGTTTCGAAATAGTCGTTGCACTACACAGAAGACCTCCAAAGTTTTCTGCCAGAAGTTTTCCAATTTCAAAAAGGCCTAAAAATGTCTTCAGTTCACGGAAAATGAGTAAAAATTATTTTATTCATAGAAAACATTTTATCCTAGAAGACCAGAACATTTTATCCATAGAAGACCAGACCTTCGGCATTATTCTGTGAAAGAACAGATGGTCTTCTTCTTATAAGAAGCTCTCCTTCTTTAGAAGTTAAAATGTTTTTTAGAACACCAACTGAAGCAGAACGATATCTTTTGAAAATCGAATGGTCATTTGCTTTTGATGACAAGAATGATTTCTTGTTTCTTCCGTAGAAGACCAAAAGAAGACCACTTGGTCTTATTCCATAGTAGTTTACTAGGTCTTCATTTTTAGGGGGGGAAACTTGACTGGTTCTTCCATAGAACAAGAAGAGGTTTTCTCCCATAGAATACGAAAACACAACGAAGACGTCTTCCGCCGAAGACGTAGAGGACCGCAATGGCTTCTTGTTCCATAGAGAAAAAGCATCTCTCATTGAAGATCACGAAAAGGCTTTTACTTCCATAGGAGACCAAAATGTTTTTTCATAGAATTCGACGAATGCTTATACTTTAATAAAAGACCACTAGAGCTCCTTCCATAGAAGACAACGACAGCTTCTCCTTTATTAAGAGATAACAATGTTTTATGTTACTTTAGAAGACCATGAGGTACTCTTCTTTAATAGAAAACTATAAGGCCATCATTTATCAAAAAATGTCACAAAGCCTTGTTTTACCATTGAATATCACAAGGCCTTGTTTTTCTACGGAAGACCATGAGGTTTTCTTTTACCGCAGAAGACCACAAGGCTTACTTCTTCCATTGAAAACCACGAGGCCTACTTCTACCATAGAAAAGCAGAAGTTCTTTTCCATAAAAACCCCTTGTTGATGTAAAAACCCTTGATGCATAAAAAACCTATGGGTTTTCTGTAGGAAGTTCACAGGATCATAATGTCAGCTTCCACCAAAGATCATAGGATAGGCAGAAAAGACCTAATTTATATTCTATTGAAAACATTTTTGCACAAACATGGTGTTTTTTAAATAGAAGGCCTTTTTTCATATAGGACCGAAACCGATCGTCAAAAAACTATACCTACAGAGTACCAAGTAGGAGGAGGTCTATTGGTCTAATAATGCTCCAAACAAGGCTTTTGATAAAAAAAAACACACAGTAGAACTTCCATCTTCCAGAGCAATAGACCATAAATCTCCCACTATGGAAAGAATAGAGTTATTATTTTATAATAATCTAGATTAGATTTAGATTTTCGATTTAGATTTTTGCAGGAAACTAGAAGGTCTTCATGCACTGATAACCAGGAGTTTCTTTTCACATTCGTACTTCCATTAAGGAATAGACCACAAATCTCCCACTAAAAAGAATAGAATTATTATTTCATAGCAATCTAGATTAGATTATTTTGCAGGAAATTATAAGTTCTTACACTGAAAACCAGGAGTTTCTTTTCACATTCGTCCATCCATTGATTCTTAAATCCTTTGCCTTTTCAATCCCCTCTAATATGTATCTCCCTTTCCCACAGGTTTACAGTTTAAATAACACCGATATCGAGTATACCCTACATGGTCATTGTGGACCCATTACCTGTCTCTTTGTGGATCGATGGCAACCGGGTACAGGTGGCTCGGGGTCACAAGATGGCCAACTGTGTGTATGGGATCTCTATACGGGTGCCTGTATGTATAACATACAAGCACATGATGGTGCGGTCAGTTGTTTGGCCTGTGCCCCTAGCTATGTTATATCGCTCGGTACCGATGAACGTATTTGTGTATGGGAACGATTCCAGGGAAATTTACTAACCACAATAAATATATCAAATGCGTATTCAAGTCTGTTAATGCTCACACCATCCCTATTGGTGACAAGCAAAATGGGTAAGTTGTGTGAATGTGGTGTTAAATGTTGGTTGCTTTTTATTATTTACATTTCTTCTTCTTCTCTATGTAGGATCTCTTATTGTTTGGGATGTACGAACTGGTGAACCGGCCAGAGAAGTTAAACTAGATTTCTCCAATTTACATTTATGTCCAAAGGTTATGATGTTGGCGTACGATTCAGTAGTCTGTGACTATGGCAATGAAATACGTGTTGTGCGATTCCCCATAGTTGGAGATAAATCTAATTAGGATTTAGGACACATACATATGCATTACATAACACATTCATCGTAATTTACATCCTAGATTCATGCATACACACACTCACTCATCTGCTTCTCTACACTTTTTTTACTGAAATGGAATCCATGAACTGATTAATGAAAAAAGCTAATTTTTATAGCAGCTGTCCTTTTTGTAGAGTTAGATAATTAATTTGTTTTTGTATCATAATACATATATATGTATAATGTCTATATATATATATTCATTTATAGCTTTAACATCAGCCAGACATCTTTATTTACAATACGGCATGACCATTTAAACTTAGTTTGTAATCGTATTGTTTTATATTTTACACCACTTTTTTGGCTTAAAGCATACAAAGTAATTATGATGACAAAGATATTTGTTATGATTTATTTAAAATATGATGGTCCACAGACCATTTGAATAGTTACCAAAGTCAAATTTTAATTTATACAAAAATAAAACCCAAAAGACTTTTAGGCCAATGTTTCCAAATGAATGCCAAGTCTGTGGCCTTGGGATCTTGCAATTTTCCATAACTAAAAGTGGTGTAGAATATAAAAGAGTCGCCATTAGACGACGTCCAATTTCAATTAAAAGAATTGCTTGTTTCGTGTTTTATTTTACTATCTTGCAAAAAAGGCCTTCTATTGTTTAACAATATTTAAAAATCCTTTTTTTTTTTGTTTTTCTGAACATTATAAAAAAACATATGTTTGTGGTAAACATTTAGAGATTTTAGACTTGCAAATTATACATAGTTGTTGTATAAGGTCTTAACTATTAAGTATAATTTTATTCTATTACTAGATTCCTAAAAACCTACTAAATATAAAATAATGGTTTTTCCTTTCTATCAAGAACCAGTGATTTCAAATACATATTTAATTATTTTTTTTTTCTTTTCGTTTATATTTTTTATGTTTATATTAAGTAAAGTGTGGTAGTTTTTATAAAAAAAAAAAAAAAACAAATATATATATTTTTTATTATTTTTATTTATTTCAGGTATTTGTTTTCATTTGTATAAATTAATATCTCACAGCAGATTTCATTGATGTCATTCTTTAATATATTTGAAAGTGGTAAAAATTTTATATATGCATGTTAACTGCATATTGTTTTGAAACAAAAAACTTTTAAAAGTTCAAAAAGAAATTATATAAACAAAAAAACTGATAATATAAATAAGCCTAAACATGAGTTAATAAATCCACATAATATCTATTTTTAACACCAGAAAGACCTATATTTTAAAATAAATGAAAATGTATTTTTAAAAAAAAAAAATCTTTTATTGTTATCATTTCTGTTTAACTCGGGTTAAATCCATTAAAAAAAAACAGCTGATTGTCACTTATACCTCTCTATAATTACATACCTTACTCAACACATAACAGCTTTTTTCCATTTTCAATTTTCATTACAATTCCATTGCTTACACGAGAAAAGAAAACACCGAATTCCATAAATTAATTATAATCCCATCATAAGTTTTATTTCCCCTTTTTAAAATAGGTGCCTTGGTAACCCTGTCTTGGTTTTTATTTTGCACAAACAGTTGGTAATTGGTACTTTATGCCGGCATTTTTTCTGTCGAGAACACTGAGTAACCCAAATGAACTAGTGCAAAAAGTTCCCTCCGGTGAATAACTCTATTAAACTGTCAATCGATATCTCCCGTTAAAATGAAGTATCGATATTGACATCCATTGTTTACCACCTCTATTTAGTTGGGATTACTCTAGAAAAATGGTACGCGTAGGCCTTCAGATTTCCGCAAATTTAGAAAATATTGAAGAATTGAAAACCTGTCATCCGGACTATGCATTTTTCGTGAAAATAACCTGCACAAATTGCGGCGAGACATCCGATAAATGGCATGATATTACCGAATCGGAAAGAACCCAACATGATACACGGAATGCGGATGGTGTGAATTTTTATATAAAATGTAAAATGTGTGGTCGAGAAAATTCCTTGGATATTGTGGAAAAATCGAATGGTGGGTAGTGTTTACAATTTTTTTAAAGTTCTATTTTATAAAAACCACTTCCATTTTGCAAAATTTTCAGAAACATACACCCAAGATGACAGTGGCAAGTTCAAGACTATTGTCATATTCGATTGCCGTGGTGCAGAGCCTGTAGAATTCTCGCCCCGTGCCGGTTGGATTGCCAAGGCAGTCGATGGCGGTCAGACCTTTGACAATATTGACCTGTCTGAAGATGATTGGGTAGACTATGATGAAAAGAATGGCAATTCTGTGGGTATCTATGAATTTGCATCAAAGTTCATTAAACTTAAGAAGTGAAGAGATGAAGTAGATGCCCCAGGGAGGGCATAAAAAGCTTTAAAACAAAAATGCATTTGTTGAAATAAACATACTGATATTAATTTTTATACAAGAAGTATCGAGTTCATTTTATTTGTAGAGTTTCAGGAACTTTGGGAACAATGCTAAAAAAAATCCAAAAATCCGTTAAATTTGACTGATTTAAGAGCCGAGATCCAGTATTCAAACGACGAGGCATATTCACAAAGGGGGAAGTAACCATCACGAACGTTTAAATGCAATCCCACGGCAGCGGGTTCTACGATACCGGATTGACCCGAAACAACAAGTTTCCTGTTTCGGCCAGCGGCTGCCAACCCAGTATGTACATGTTTGTGTTTGTTTATTTTTCTGCATTGGGAGCAGCATATCCCGGAATGCTTGCTCCGGATTTTATTGGTCCGTGCCGGGATTGAGGAAAACCCCGGACCTTGGTTCTGCTCGGTTTGTCAGAACGTCATCCACCACAGATCTGTCTCGGTGCGATGTAATGGATGCAGAGAGTGGGTGCACTTCAAGAACTGTTCCGGATTAAGGCGTTTGCGAGACTACAGCGAAAGGGATTATGTTGCGACTTGCTGCAGTAACGTAGTCCCCAGCGAGTCCTCTTCTTCGTCGTCCTCGTCAGAGACGTCGTCGGAGTATGGCACTCCACCGCAGTCTCCAGAACAGCAACCAACACCGCAGCACCTAACGCCACATGTTGCTGTTCCAACTCCGGATTGTGCATCATTCTTGCAATTCAATTGCAACGGACTTCGAGGCAAAATAGATGAGATAGTGGAATTTATGAGTCGGAGGAATATTAAGATCGCAGCGGTGCAGGAAACCAAGCTGAATGAAAATTGCAGCCTACAACGTTGTTATGGTTACAACGTACTAAGGAAGGATCGCACCAGAAGTGGAGGTGGGGGATTAGCGTTCCTGTTACACCATTCTGTTCAGTACAGACCTATCTCGCTTGAGCTAGTCTCTAGTGACCCATACATGGAATGTATGGGGGTAGCAGTCAAGTGTGGAACTGCCGAGGTAGAGGTGCTTAATGTGTATATCCCGCCGATTAATAGCTGTGAACCACGTTATTTGCCTGATATTAGCCCATTATTGGTAGGCAATAACCGCCTGGTACTAGGGGATTTTAATGCCCACCATGAGTTGTGGCATTCCGTCCTAGGTAATGACCAGAGGGGATCAGCGCTGGCAGAGCAGATTGACTGCTCCACATTCTGCACGGTTAACGAGGATGCCCCCACCCGAATAAGAGGAGAGTGTCACAGTTCGCCAGATTTAACCATAGTGTCACCCGGTCTGATAAATGACGTGACTTGGCAACCCGTCATTTCTCTTGGCTCAGACCATCTCCCGATAATCGTCTCCATAAGCAGGTCGCCCGATTTCATAACCTCTGAACGCCGCACTTTCCTTAACCATGGGAAAGCTCACTGGCCAGAGTTCAGAGAATTCACCAACCGCCGCTTCAGAGAACTGCCCAACCCTTCTGATGTTCGGGTAGCAGAAAGGATTTTCCGAAACATCATCAGAGCTGCAGCCGCTCGCTATATACCTGCTGGTCGAATACCCGAGATAAGACCAAACTTCCCAGCAGAGGCAGCGGGATTAGCAAACGAGCGTGATGATCTCCGTCGTACCAACCCTACTGATCCTAGAATCAGTGATTTGACAGTGGAAGTCAACCGGTTGGTGCAGGAGCATAAGAGGAAAAAGTGGCTAGACCATCTGAAGTGCTGCAACATTGGAACCGATATGAGTAAGCTGTGGGTAACGGTTAAGTCGCTCTCGAACCCTGGAAAAAAGGATGATAGGACCTCAGTCACTTTTAACGACGTAACGGTGACTGATCCGAAGAGGTGCGCGGAATATTTTAACCGACAATTTGTCGAGCACCCCGAGAGTGATAGGGCGAAGCGAAGAGTACTACGTCGTATCAGATCTCTTCCCGCCGAGGAGGAACCACCACAGTTTACGATGGGTGATGTTGCAAATGTCATCCGTAACGCTAAGTCATCCAAAGCGTTGGGCCCGGACGGAATCTCAATGGTAATGTTGAAGCAGCTGGATACGCCGGGAGTCGAGTACTTAACAAAAGTTCTCAATTTGTCGCTAGCCACCTACATAGTGCCCGAAACCTGGAAAATGGGCCGGGTGGTCCCGCTACTGAAGCCAGGCAAGGATGCCAGTAAAGGCGAATCGTACAGGCCGATTTCGCTTTTGTCGCCAGTAGCAAAGACTCTTGAGGCTTTACTCCTCCCCAGCATTAGAGGAAGCTATGCAGTTGCCAACCACCAGCATGGATTCCGTCCACAACATAGTACCACAACAGCATTACACGCCATTTCCACACATATTAGTAGAGGACTAAACCAGAACAGGCCGTGTGACAGAACAGTGTTGGTAGCCCTTGACCTATCAAAGGCATTTGATACGGTCAATCATGCCACACTGTTTGAGGACGTACAGAGAACTACCCTCCGGCCAAGTTTGAAACGTTGGATAATCAACTATATGTGTGGACGCCAGTCGTACGTGGAATTCCGGAACAAGAAGTCCAAAGCCCGTAGAGTGAAACAGGGAGTTCCCCAAGGTGGGGTGATATCTCCGGAACTGTTTAACCTCTACCTTTCCGGAATTCCTCGCCCTCCAGACGGCATTGAGATCGTAACGTATGCGGATGATTGTACGATCATGGCGTCGGGTCCAGTGGTCGATGACATATGCGAAAGGTTGAACCCCTATCTCGCGGAGCTTGCCGCATACTTCCACGCGAGGAATATGAAAATATCCGCCACGAAATCAACGGCCACACTCTTTACCACATGGTCTGCGGAGATGAGAACACAGCTGAATGTTCAGGTCGAGGGGAATTTAATACCGACCACGAACTACCCCAAGATTCTTGGGGTAACGTTCGACAGCATGTTCAAGTCGTCCGCGCAAGCCACAGCTATCTGCGACAAGATGAAAAGTAGGAACAAGGTCCTCAAGGCGCTAGCCGGCAGCTCTTGGGGTGCGGACAAAGAAACCTTGTTGACCTCTTATAACGCGATAGGTCGGTCTGTGGTCAACTATGCGGCTCCAGTGTGGTCTGCGAATACTAGTGCTACGCAGTGGAAGAATATCCAGACCTGCCAGAACGCTGCCCTGAGAACTGCGACAGGGTGCCTCCTCATGACACCAGTGGACCATCTACATGAGGAGGCGAAAGTCCTTCCCTTACGTCAGCATAATCATATGCTTTCGTTGCAGTACCTGCTTGGGTGTTACCGTGAGAGCCATCCCAACCATCACATGGTGGATAACTCTCCCCCACCCAGGCGTGTCAGGAAGGACATACATGATCTAGAGAGGGAGGTCCAGCGCTACAAGAGAGAGCCTCTAGATCAAGAAGCCTATCAGGCAGGTCTGAGTGGCATTCACACCGATGCAGTCGCGGATGCTATTAGCAGTTACAAAGTGAATGCCGTCCTCGGAGTCCACCCCCCATCCATTGCAGCCGAAGAACGTCAGCTGCCTAGACAAACCAGGGTAGTTTTGGCGCAATTACGTTCAGGATGGTGTAGTCGCCTCAATTCGTATTGGGCACGAATTGATGAAGATGTGCGTGACGCCTGCCCGGCGTGTGATACAGGCCCGCACAATACGCTACACCTTTTTAATTGCTCAGCCAAACCTACCCAACTCACTCCAGAGGATCTCTGGCTACAGCCCGTTAAAGTAGCCGAATTTCTAAACCTGGAGCTGGAACCAGATTAGCAGAACACAAACACACACATGTACTACTGCTACAACAACAACAACGTTTAAATGCAAATTTTAAAAAATATTAAAGAATGTGGATAAAATCTTTAATATATTTAATGTCTGGAAATCCCACTATATTTGGACTGCCCCTTTGACCTGTATATATAGTCTTTTGCCAGAGAAGCAACTTGCATTGAGAAGCATTTTTTTTCTCATAAAGAAAATTATTTATGTCAGTAAATGTTTTGTTCCAGAACTGCAAGAATGAAAAAAATTTCGCCACGATAACCGATTTTTTCTTTATTATATCGAAAAAATTGCAAAACTAGTAGATTCTTGCAAGTTCTGGAACAGAGCAGATATCACAAAAAATTAAAAAGTATTAGATTTTTGTATTTTTTGGAACAGAGGAAAAAATTGATTTTCCCTGCAGGATATGGAAATTCCTGCAGGAACAGAGAACAAACTTGCAGGTTCTGGAACTGTAGCAGTTTCAGAAGCTGCAAGAATGTAAAAATTTCACTATAATAACCGATTTTTCCTTTATTGGTTTGAGATAATTGCAAAATTAATAAGTTCTTGCAGTTTCTGGAACAGACCATATACAAGTCTTATTTAAAATTAAACATTAAAACAAATTATCAAAAACAAGTAAAAAAGCTGTAAGTTCAGCCGGGCCTATCTTTGAATACCTTTCACCAATTGGAAAGATTTTGGAAATTTTCAAAAAATAAAAAAATATAAAAGCCCTTAAAAATTCTGTTAAAATCTTATAAATACCGAAGTAGACGTAGACGTACAATGCGAAACTTGAATAAAAAATTCGGTGAATAATGTAGCTAAAATCATCAAAATTCCGAATATCGGGAGGTACAGTTATATTGGGGGTATACGAAGACGTGGATCTGCACAGACATAGGCAGTAGCATCCGTTACGAACTTCAAACACCTAATTTGAAACGATTTTGGTAAATAATGCAGCTAAAATCATCAAAATACCGAATATCGGGAGGTACCGTTATATGGGGGCTATACGAAGACGTGGACCTGCACAGCCAATTTTCTGTCATAGGCTGTAGTACCCATTACGAATTTCAAATACCCAATTTGAAACATTTCCGGTGAATAAAGTCGCTTAAATCACCAAAATATCGAAAAAAAGTGAGATACCATTATATGGGGGCTATATCAAAACGTGAACCTACATTATCCATTTTCAATATCAAAAGCTCTGCAGACATAATACACATTTGAGTATAATTTTATCAACCTGCTTCATTTCGTTCGGAAGCTAGAGTGATTTTCACAGACGGACAGACATCGCTAAATCGACATAGAATTTTATGCCGATCAAGAATATATATACTTTGTGGTGTCTAATATGTATATTTCGAGGTGTTACAAACGGAATGACAAACTTAATATACCCTTCATACTATGATGGAGGGTATAAAAATGAGCAAAATTAACTATTGATTGACGGTTCCAAAAAATTCTATACATGACAACTTTTACATTCTTGCATTTCTGAAACAGACCACATTTAAGTAAATTATTCTTAATTCAAGGGGCTGGGAATTAGTACGGCACACGTACTGTACAGTAATAAAATATGCGTTACTTAACTACTAATTGCAATGCAGCGGATTGCGTTGTCCTCATGTCCCATTCGTAAACATCAGTGTTATCGGGGATTTTGTTTTCTGTTTATTTTTCATCGGCGCATTATGTGTTGCCTTTTTATTTTTTCGATTGGAACGTCTTTCATTTTGGTGTTCAAAAAGTGCGCGCCTTTGAAGCAAATAGAAATACACTCACGCTCACCTCCTAACAAGGATAAAGATAGTTATCATTTGTAATTTGTTTCTTGAATAGTTAAGTCCTGGTTTGTTTTTTTTGCGTTCTGTAGTATTGTTGTGCCAAAAAATAAAAAAACATGAAGCGTCATGAAAGAGAAAATGTCCTGGTAGCAGACAAGGAGAATATGGTAAAATATACAAGTTTTGGTATTTTTTTTGGCGCAAAAAAGCGCAGTATACCTTTAATTAAATATATAGTATTTAATTTATTATTCTTTCATAGTGATGAACGACTTTTTATAAAACAATTTGAGAATCGGATCAGCTCGTGCTTCTTAGAATCGAAACACTTTGTTAGGATCTGTGGAAAAATTAAAAACATATCACTTATTTTATATTGGACAGAAGCAAATCCGAGTTATTCATTAATTCCCTTAGTTTGTATTGTAGGACGTGCGGCAGATATTAACCACTCGAAGAAACATAGAACTGGAAAGCATTAGAGGGTCTCGTAATGATACCAACTTTGAATTACATGATCAAATTTTTTTTTTGGGTAAAATCAACAAATGTAGTTCTTCAGCTAGAAAGTGTTGGCCATAGTCTTAAATATTGCTATCTGATTCGAGATTCGTTTCGATAAACCCTGTCTCAAAAGGATGATCATAGGATTGCATCTAGTTTTATGTCAGCTGCAAACAGAAAGGTGACAGATGTTTTCGGTTTCTCTTTGTTATCTTAAAGTTGTCAGGACACCAATTGATATTTCACACAGCTGTATTGGCATTCATTTGTTGTTGTATGTGACCAATTGAAAACAATACTCTATGGTTGCTTAAGCAAGATAATAGAATGTGCAGCGACTTTATATTATGTCATTCTAATCTTCACCTGGTGCATATGGTGTGCTGAAACCTATTGAATTGATTTGTGGTACCTTGGCGGGTATATCACATTCCTTATTTTGTTTGCAACACCTCGAAATATTTCCTAGACCCAGTAAATGGAGAATTGCCTATACAGGGTGAGATGAAACAACTGCAACAAAGTCAAACGCCATAATTTTTAATTTTTTCTTTCTAAATTTAATTGAATCTAAGCAAAAATATCGGAATTAGCATCAAATTTTAGAATTAGTTTAGATTTGTTCGAATTGGTCACCTCTGGCACAAAATATGGCCTTCAAACGGCCAATGAAACCGTCACACGCTGCCCGAATGTTGCTTTGCGGTATTTCGGCACATTCCCGGCGAAGCGCTTGCTTGAGGTGATCGACACTTTGGTATTTTTTAGTGCCAAAATACTCCAGACACAAAGTCCAACGGATTGGTATCCGGAGATTTTGGTGACCATTGTGCGCTGGAAATGAAGCGAGGAACCTCATTTTGTAACCACTCTTGGGTGGCGCGTGCTGAGTGCGATGGTGCTGAGTCCTGTTGAAATGTCCAAGGTCTGGGCCCAAAATGTTTGCGTGCCCAAGGCTTTAATACATCCTCCAGAAAAGTTTCGCGATAATATTCGGCGTTTATTCTGATACCACGGTCGATTAATACGAGCGGAGAACGACCATCCGCTGTTTTGGCAGCCCACACAAACACCATGGCCGGTGCTTGAGTTCTGGTGGCCAACCGAAGGTGCACATTTTCAGCTGACCTCTTTGGCAAGTAAACACGATAATTTTGTTTGTTTACAAACTGCTGGACAACGAATGTTTTCTCATCGGAGAAACCCTAATTCGGCAATTCACCATTTTCGGCCAAGCGAAGCAACTCTTTAGCTCTTTTGAGTCTATTTTCTTTCTGTTGCGGTGTAAGTTCTGGCACTTTTTGGAATTTCAATGAGCCCTGAGCTCATTTTACAATATTTGCCGAATATATATTGCGAATATTGCGATATGTTCAGCTCACGAGCCATTTTCGGCCACTGCGACGTGGGTTTCGTTCAAGTCGCTTTTTTTTAGTTTTCGAAAGATTTCTGCTGATGTTGCTGTTTTCTTCCCTTCACTTCCTTGACGTCGGGCTACACTACCAGTATTACGGTAACGAGCGATGGTACGAGACATAAAAGATTTATTCACAATTAAATACTGGAGTGCTCTAACGATAGGCACTTGTGGTTTTCCAGCCAAATATAAAGGAATCACACTATCACGATTGAATTACATCACGAATAACTTTTTTTCTGGAAAATTTTCACCAAAATGCTTTTGTACGCTTGTTCACAATATAATGAGCTGTCACTGGAATAATTTAAACAGCTGTCGGACGAGTGGCTTAGAAATGACAGCTGTCTGAAGATAGTTGCAGTTTTTTTTATCTCACCCCGTATAGTAAAAAGTCAACTTTATGTTCATTTATTTTAGATAAATTTTCTTCAATATTCTGCTTTACACTCTTAAGGAAAGCATTTCTATGGTTTAAATACTTTCAAAATATCTCTATTTCTATATAGACGATTTCAAAAGTTTGTCCTTTAGATAAAATGTCTTTAATAACATATTTTATTTTAAAAAGGCTTCCATGGGCAGAAGACCTTCAAATATGTATTTATTAATAAAAGAACTTCAAGAGTTTCAAGATTTATATTTAAAATTTAAAAGACTCGTATCTAGATAGGAATCCTTCAAAGGGGCTTTTTTATAATGGAGCTCCTGGAACGTTTTAGTTTCATTACTTTATAAACTTTCAATTTTAATTAAAAAGCACTTAAATTTTTTTCTTTCAGGCCGACAACAAACGTAAACGATCGTCGGAAGTTGTTAATCCGTCAGCCAAAAAACAACGATTATCATCGATCGATAGCACCGATGAAATGGATCGTAGCCAACGTTTGGAATACCTGTTGCAAAAGAGTGAAGCACTCTCAAATTTCGTGTCTGCCAAATCAAACAATAACAACACGGCGAACGCACCCCCAAAAAAGCCAACAAAAAAACCTAAAACAAATAATAAAAAAACTGCCGAAGATATTCAAAATAATAACAATGGACCCATTCGTTTCGACTCATCGCCCAGCTATATTAAGGGTCAAATGCGTGACTATCAAATTGCCGGTTTAAATTGGATGATATCGTTACACGAAAATAACGTGGCTGGCATTTTGGCCGATGAAATGGGTCTGGGAAAGACACTTCAAACCATATCACTGTTGGGCTATTTGAAGCACTATTGCAATGAGGCTGGTCCCCATATGATAATTGCCCCTAAATCGACCTTACAAAACTGGATGAACGAATTCAAGAAATGGTGTCCAACGATTAAGGCGATTTGTCTTATTGGCGCCAAGGAGGAGCGTAAGGAATTTAAGAGCAACGTTTTTCTAAAAATGGATTGGGATGTTTGCGTTACATCGTACGAAATGATTCTGTGTGAAAAGGCATTTTTGCGAAGAGTCCAATGGCGGTACATGATCATTGATGAGGCACATCGCATTAAGAATGAAGAGACAGTGTTGTCCAAATACATACGACTATTCAGTATTACAAATAGGCTCTTGCTAACCGGCACACCGGTGCATAACAATTTACATGAGCTGTGGGCAATGCTGAATTTTATGCTACCCGATATTTTCAATAGTGCTGATGATTTTGATCAATGGTTCAACACCGATGCCTGTTTGGATGATGCATCGATGGTAAAGAGATTACATGCCATATTGGAACCTTTCCTTTTGAGACGTCTGAAGGTGGATGTCGAAAAAACTCTAAAGCCAAAAAAGGTGACAAAAATATACGTTGGCATGACAAAAATGCAAAACGAATGGTACAAGAAAATTCTCGCTAAAAATGTTACACAGCCTAACAACATTGATGGCACTGAGAAGAAAGTAACGCTGTTTAATACCCTGATGCAATTGCGCAAAGTTACAAATCATCCGTATTTATTTGCGGGTGCCGAACCAGGACCACCATTCAGCACCGACAGGCACATTGTTGATAATAGTGGAAAAATGATGGCCTTGGACAAGCTGTTGCCCAAATTGCGGGACCAGGGTTCAAGAGTTTTAATTTTCTCACAATTCACCACCATGTTGGATATTTTGGAAGATTATTGCACCTGGCGTTCATTTCCCCATTGTCGATTGGATGGAGACACACGACACGAGGAGCGTGATCAACTAATACAGCAGTACAATGCCAAAAATTCCAAATTATTTATTTTCATGCTTTCCACCAGGGCCGGTGGCTTGGGTATTAATTTAACCACTGCCGATGTGGTCATATTCTATGATTCCGATTTAAATCCTCAAATGGATCTACAGGCCATGGATCGTTCGCATCGCATTGGCCAAACGAAAAAAGTGCGCGTGTTTCGTTTGATTACGGAAAACACCGTGGAGGAGAGAATCAATCAGCTGGCTGAAAAGAAACTGGAATTGGATAAAACGGTCATACAAAAGGGCAGAAATCCCTTTGTATTGAGCAAAGATGTTATTTTGAATATAATACGATCGGAAATGTTGGCGGAAAGAAAAGATTTTGTTTTGTCAGAAGAAGAGATAGATGCTGTGGTGGCGCGGGACGATGATGATGATGATGAGAATAATAATAATAATGAAAAACCTTGAAGGCATAGAGGATTTTTTAAGATATGATATTAAACATTTGTTGCAGGTTTTGCAATTAAGTGAGCGAGTGAGAGGAAGAAAATTTTCAGTTTAGATTTAAAGTTGTATTAAAAAAATTATCACATTATTGCATTGCATTTAAAAAACATAAGAATCTAATGATCTGTTTTTCTATAACGTCACCAAAGTGAGTTCGAAAGACAAACACCCATTCCTTGCATGTTTTTGTTCATACAAAAAAAAAAACATTGTTGGAATTGGTGTTTTTCTTTCATATACAAATTCCTATCATCATAGAAAAACGATTCTAAATTAATTTGAAAATATATTTATTTTAGTTTTCATCATTAGAAATACATGACATTTTTTGACCCTTTTCGAAAACTATAAAAATATAAGCATCTGCTTTAGAAAATTTTATGTGACACCAGAAACGTATATTTTTAAAAAAAACATTCAGATACATCGCTAGTACCACTATATAAATGTTTTTTTTTTTTTGTTCATTCCGTTTATTGCACCGACCATAATCTGACTTGACCATGTTTTATGCTATATATTTTTTATTTCCCCATTATTAAAGTTTTCATATTGAATAAATTATGACAAAATGATGACTATCTTCACGTAATAACTACCTCATAACAGGACCAAGAACTATGAATACCAGACATTTATGTATTTCATTTATGTAAACGTGTAAAATACCTAAACTATGTTAAGTTTCTTTTTGTTTTGTTTCTTCTCTCAATATTTATTTTTGTTTATGAAAGAGGTTACAATCACAATTTACGTTTTGTTTTAAGGAATCAGTATTATAACGAAATAAATGTTTTGTGTTCAAATTGATATGATTTTATAAAATATAATTTTTCAATAATTTTTTCTTTGCTGTGATTTGAATATCTGAATAGGGACACGAATCAAAACACCAAAAAGTTGCAAAACAACTTAGGGTTCAGCAGAATTCGAAAGGGCCATCGTTTTGGAGAGAAAACTTCAGGTATGTGCGATTTGTGTATAGTTCAGGAAACCTCAGATATTCTTCGACGAAATCAGTAGAACAATCTCTCTGGATGATTTTATCATGTGTTAAGGTTGATCACCACTTTTTATACCCTACACTAAATAGTGGTAGATATAGATTTGTTTGTAACATGGAGAAGGAAGCGAGATGGACCCATAGTTACTTTTGAGAATCTTTATAGACTCACTTTCTGAGTCGATTTATGCATGTGCGTACGTCTGTCCATGTATTCTTGTGAACAAAATACGCGTCACATTGATTATCCGATTGAAATGAAATTTTCCAAACAATATCTGTTTTGCCCAAGGACAAACCCTATTGAAATTGGTTCCACCGATTTCGGGTTAATTGTGCACAAAATGACCAATATTAAAAAATCCTGAATTTTGGTACATCTGATCGACTTCTGTCTAGAAGCATGTACATCAAATTTAGTGAAAATGGGTTCAGATATAGCCTTAACCTCCCATATATATGTTTCATCCGATTTGGTCTTTAAGTCCCTCACATTCGTAATATGCATTCGACAACAATCACATTTGGTACAAGATATCTTGTAGAGCTCGGAAATACCTTTGCCAAATTGTATAGAGATCGGTTCAAATTTAGATATAGCTTCAATACATATTTTCGACCAATTTCGGATTAATTGTGCAGCAAATGGCCAATATCAGTCCAAATGACCTGCATTTTGGTTCATCTGACGGAATTCTGTTTAGAAGCAAGTACATCAAATTTGGTGAAAATCCTTTTGGATATAGCTAAAGCTCCCATACAGGGTGATATGAAAAAATGCAGCCAATTTCACACTGCTGTTATTTCTAAGCCACTAGTCCGACATCTGTTAAAATTATTGCAGTGACAGATCATTATATTGTTTACAAGCGTACAAAAGCATTTTGGTGAGAATTTTCCAGAAAAAAAATTCGTGATGGAATTCAAGCATGATAGTGTGATTTCATTATATCGCAGTGGCCGAGGCAGCAGAAAGAAAATAGACTCTAAAGAGTTGCTTTGCTTGGTCGAATGTGGTGAACTGCTGAATTTAGTTTTCTCCGATGAGAAAACATTCGTTGTCCAGCAGTTTTTAAACAAACTAAATGTCGTGTTTATTTGCCAAAGAGGTCAGCTGAAAATGTGCACCTTCGGTTGGCCACCAGAACTCGCTCTCCGCTCGTATTAATTGACCGTGGCATCAGAATTAATACCGCAAACATTTTGGCCGCAGACCCTGGACATTCCAAGAGGACTCAGCACCATCGCACTCAGCACGCGCCACACAAGAATTGTTACAAAATGAGGTTCCTCGCTTCATTACCAGCGCACAATGGCCATCAAAATCTCCGGATACCAATCCGTTGGACTATTGTGTTTGGAATATTTTGAAAAGCAAGGTTGGCGCTAAAAAATACCTCAAGCAAGCGCTTCGCCAGGAAGGGGCCAAAATACCGCAGAGGAACATTCGGGCAGCGTTTGACGGTTTCAATGGCCGTTCTAAGGCCATAATTCGTGCCAAAGGTGACCAATTCGAACAAATCTAAACTTATTCTAAAATTTGATGGAATTTCAGACATTTTTAGCTAAAATTCAATAATATTAAAAAAAGTAAAATTCATGGCATTTGACTTTGATGCAGTTTTTTTTATCTCACCCTGTATAGTCGGCCCCGCCCGACTTTTGACTTTTCCTTGCTGGTTTTGATTGAATTTATGTAAATATCCAAGGTACTTGTACTTAATTTGGTCTTGGTTAAAGGGATAGAGGTAGAATTCTGAAATTTGATATTTAGGTCTCTGTTCGTATCAGGAATTGGTTTTGGAAATGTGTACTATATTTGTACAAAAAGTACTAGGAGGTATTAAATTTAGTATTGGCTGAAGGGATAGGGTAGGAATGGTCAAATTTGATATTGAGGTCTCCGTTGGTAACGAGAGTTGAGATATGGAGATTGTTTTGGAAATCTAAGTACTATATTGTATTATAAAGGACACTTGTCACATTATAAGAGGCCAAGAAGGTCCCCTTGTCCGCACACAAAAATGCTGTAGAATATCGCCTTGAGGGCTTTGTTTCTATCACCTATTGCGTATACGACCCTAATATGCTGTCGAATGTCACCCCTAGGATCTGGGATTAGATCGTGATCGGAATTAAATTTCCCTCGACCTGAGTTCTCATCTCCGCAGACTATGTGGTAAAGATGGTGGCCGTTGTCTTAATGCCGTGCAATGCTGTTGTGGTACCATCTTCTTTGGGAAAAACGCCGAGGGCATTAAATCAGTGTTCAAAACAATAACCAAGTTGGTTTTTAATTGTACAACTTGCACTTACCTTTAAATTTGTAATAAAACAATTTCGAAATTTGTTGGTTGTTTGGTGTTTGGAGTTAACTGTAAAAAATAACTTTTATTTCATTTTATTGTTTTTTGTTGTCTTTTCTTTTAAATTTGATTTAATTTTTTTATTTTACTGTAACAGACTTAAACAAAATTTATTTTTTTTCTTTGTATAAAAATGTGTGGGACCAATTTGAAATTTAAATTATAAAAAAACACGGATTTGGAATTTCAATTATAAAAAATTTCATTTGGATCTCTCAAATCATTATATGGGTATTTCTCATTAGCAATTACATCTTGATAGACAATTTTATATGGCATGAGTTTTTGATCTTTGCATTTTGTAATTTTGAATTTTTGTAATTGGAAATTTTTAAGAGTGTTAGTAAAACTCTTGCATATTCACAGAATATCGTCACATCTTTTATTTTAAAGAGGGAACAACTGAATAAAAAAAATCTCTTTTTTGCTTTATTATTTCATCTGCTTGAGGAAATTATGAGGTATTTTTAGTTTTGAATTTAAAATTTTATTTGGGAGAATTTTTTTTTTTTTTGCAAAAAAAAAATCTTTTTTCTTTTGTTACAAAAATTCAAGTTTATGATTTTTTTAATGACATACTGACGTTTTTTGTTGGATTCTTTTGAATTAGAGTATTGTAAAAATTTATTGAAGGACAATTCGATATGTTTCAACAACCAAAAAGGGGGATAAATTGTATAAAAAAATCAAGGCTGTGGCCAATTTATTTTTCCTCCCTCATTTCATTTATCAAAACTCAAATTTAGTTTTCATTTTGAATTTATATTTCATTCTTTGTATGACTGTATCAGAATTGCAATTACTTGTTTTTGTGGGCATTTGTTTATCTATTCTCTATAAAACATTAGTTAATCTTTTCTTTCAGGACATTTAAAAAAAATAAATTAATTTACAAAAAAAAAAAAAACAAACAAAAGCGAACAAAACTAAAAAAATGAATAACATGTTTTGTTTAATTATCACTAGCAATAATAATAATAATAATAATAACTATAAAAAATTATAATTAATAATAGTATTTTTTCTTTCACACATTGTTCCTGATTTCAATTGTCTTTTTTGTATTTCGTTTTATTTACTTTGTTATCATGGAAGTTTCTTTTCTGTTTTTCTTTTCGGTTTGTTCAAAAATTAACATTTTTTTATTTTTCTTATTTTCTAAAACAAAAAAATTACATTAATAATAATTGTTTTTAGCCTTTTTCATATGTGCTGTACATTTCTACAATACATTTTGTGTTTTTTTCTATATTTATAATTATTTACAAACTATTATTGATTAGCTGTTATGGCTGCTGGTATCCGTCTCCGGGTACTGTCCTCCTGACTGGACACATGTGTCTGGGACTCCAGGACATTGTTGTCTCTGACATCATTGTCGGGATTATCCCAGTACTGACGTTCACCGGAACCGAAGATATTGAAGAAGGTACCGGCTATGATGTAAATGGCAGCAGCAATAAAGAATACCTTTTGCCATTGGGCAATTGTGGGCTGGAAATAAAAAAAAAAATGGAAATTAGTTTTTGTTTAGGTCGTAAGGAAGAACAGTTTAGAATTTAATCGTTTAGAGAGCGGCTTTTCAGAGTCATTTTATGGAAATTATGCCTTTTGGTAGTATTCTCTAAACAGAAAGCCTTAAAGAGGTATTTTTTGGTAGAAGACATTCTGTGGATCTTTTAATGGAGAGAATGCCTTGAAAAGACCTTCAGAGGGAGAATACATTTTTGGGGTCTATCAAGATTTTAGACTCTCTAGATGACATCATTGGGTAAAGAGGTATCTTTTTAGGTAGAATACATTCTGTGGATCTTTTAATGGAGAGAATGCCTTGTAAAGACATTCAGAGGGAGAATACATTTTTGGGTCTATCAAGATTTTAGACTCTCTAGATGACATCATTGGGTAAAATATCTTCCAGATATTTGTTATAGAAAGCATTTCAGAGGTATTTTATAGACATGATGGTTTTTAGAGATTGTCTCTAGACGGAAATCCTTGCATAGTTATGTTATAGGTAGAAGACAAGATATCAAGATTTTAGACTCTCTAGATGACTTCTTTTGGTTAAAATATCTTCCAGATCTTTTCTTAGGAAACATTTCAGAGGTATTTAATAGACATGGTGCTTTATAGAGATATTCTCTAGACAAAAATCCTAGCAGACTTATTTTATAGATAGAAGACATTCTGAGCATCTTTTATAGATAGAAGCCCTTTTATAGACCTACAATGCGGATAATCCTTTTTCAGGGGTATTTTATAGGTATTATACCTTTGGGATATCTTTTAAGGTATTAGGTATTATACCTTCTTGATGTCTTCGTTGAATAAAATATCTTCCAGAGGTCTTTCAGAAGGCGTTACAGAGGTATATAGGCTTTATAAAGGCATTATACATACAGAACGCATTAAAGAGGTCATTATCTTCAATGAAGACATTATCCTCAATGAAGAGAATATTTTTTTGGGGTTTCTGTCTTTCTGGGGAAATTATACCTTCTTGATATCTTTCAATATATCTTCATTGTATAAAATATTTTCCAGACGTCTCTTGGAAGGCGGCCCAGAGGTATTTTATAGACTTAAAGAGGTTTTTTTTTTAAGAAGAAGACTTCACTGAGTACTCTACAGCTAATAGTCCACAGAGGTTTCTTCTAGATGGAAGGTCATTTAAAGTGCTTCCATGTCTGGAACATATTTCGCAGGCCTTCTAAATTGGTGTTCCCATTTTCATTTCCTTGTCTAATTACCTGATTATTAATCAAATTGCCAGCAGCGATTGGTGCCAAGAGACCAGCCAAATTGGCAGAACAATTTGTGATGGCCATAAGGAAGCCGGCAAAGCGGGGTGTCAAATCCAAATGATTGATTTTGAAACCTGAGTAGATGCCACCATTCAGACCCACGCCAACTGTGAGAATGGCCAAGGTCAAAACACGATTACAGCCAGTGTAGGAGGCGGCAACCAAGGCCAAACCGGGACCATATTGACCTGAAAAAACACAATATTTTAAAAATTTCCTCTACAAATAAAATATTTCGACTTACCAATTGAATTCATAACCTTTCTGGTCTGTGTGTGATTGAAACGTTTTGAGGAAATCATCCAATCGGCCACAACGGAAATGCCCATTGAGAAGATCCACATGGCCAAATAAGGTAGGGATGACAACAAACCATTGGATTTCAGGGAGAATCTCAAGACCTGTTTCATGTAGGTGGGTAATTCGGTCATCAAAGTTTCATAGCCATAGTTGTGACCCATGTGGGCAAGCAAAATGGCATAGAATGGCAATGACTTGAAAATGCCCTTGAAGGGTATGGGAGGACTCTGCAAATATTTTGTAAATTAAAACCCAAATTTCAAAATTCTCAAAACCAAACAACCCACCTTAACTTCTGTGGTGCCCCACAATGAGGTATTGATGTATTTCTTTTCACGTTCATCGATGCTGGGATGGGAGGAGGGATCCTCATAGACCCAAATAATGAAAGCAATCGACCAGATGGTACCCACAGCACCGAAAACATAGAAAATAGAGGGCCAGCCTCCATCGAAGCCATACTCAGCCAAGAGACCTGACAGCGGCATAGATATAATTGTACCAAATTGTGCACCAGCATAGACGGCCGCACCCATACGTGATCGCTCATTGGGCGGTATCCATTTGGCCAACAGGGCATGGGTACAGGGTACAATTGGTCCCTCACCCAAACCCTGAATGAAACGGACAACACACAGACCCCAGACGCCACCTTCACGAGCTGCCACGGGCACCAAAAAGGCAAAGACGGAATTGATCAACATGCCATAGCCCAAGAATCTTAGGGCACCATATTTTTTGGCCAACATGCCAAATGGAATCTGGAAAAAAAGAGAAAAGAAATGTTAGTTGTGGAAAAAATAAATTTGGAAAATTTAGTTAACATTACCTGTGTTATGACATAGCCATAGAAGAATGAGGACAGAATGTAACCCTGCAAGGCGGAATTCCAGGCAAATTCACCGTCTTGACCATGGTCCTGGAAGAAAAGAAAATCATTTTTTAGTACAAAAAAAAAATAAATAAATAAAACAGCAAGGAAAGTCAAAAGTCGGGCGGGGTCGACTATATGATAGCCTACACGGCTATGCATATTTAGTAGAGCTCCCGTAATAAAAAAACGTTATTTGGAGTAAATCTCTTCGAGAAGGATTATTTTAAAAAAAACTATGTATCGGAGTCGAGTTCCGCCAAATGACCATTATTTGCACAAAAAACCCGAAATCGGATTAAGGATATATGTAGGAGTTATATCCAAATCTTTGCCGATCTCGATAAATTTTTGCAAAGGTATTTCCGAGCTCTATAAGATATCTGGTACCAAATATCATTGTTGTCGAATGCATATTACGAATGTGAGGGACTTAAACACCAAATCGGACGAAAAATATATATGGGAGCTAAAGCTATATCTGAAGCGATTTTCACCAAATTTGATTTACTTGCTTCTAGACCGAATTCGGTGCGATGTGCCAAAATCCAAGTCATTTGTACTGATATTGGCTATGTAAAGGAAATCATTCCTGTTTTATTTTTTGCGATTTATTCAGCCGGTTTAGTTTTTTAATTAAAAATAACATTCTCTAATAAAAACTTACCACTTCGGTATAGTTCGCATCGGGACATTCATCATCCATGACATCTTCATGACCATCATTGATGGCCGTATGATTGACCATGGCCACAATGGCCACAGACATGTTTGTTCGCATCACATAGGCATTGGCCATGCCCAGGAAGAGCATAAATGTGACAAAGAAGCGGGTTTGGAGGAGGCCTGGAAATAGAAATTAAAAAAAAAAAAAAACGACAACCATTAGTAACCAATTAAAAAAAAAAACTTGGAAAATAAAATAATTAATATATTCAAAAATAATTAAAATACTCAAAAAAAAAAAATTAAACTAAAACAAAAAAAATCTGAAAACTTTATCTTTATTTATCTAGAAACCAACAAATTTCCAACACGTGAAGTCATGGGTTTTGATTTCCTTCCCCGCATCATGCTGACTGCTGATCATGCTGGCGATAATCGTTATGACTAAGTGTATGTTTGTTGTAGATATGTATGTGATTATGATTTAATAGCGTTATTCGGACACAGAGCTAGGAAGTATATTTAGTTGGTGTGCGTATTTGGGTTGCCTGGCAGCCAAATCTGTTGTGTTGTTTTTTTTTTTCTTGGTCTTCATTCATGGAATTTTAGCACATTATTTAAGAGCAAACAAAAAATAACAAAACACAATAACAAAAAATACTAATTTTTTTTTCACCGTATTAAAAAAAGTGTGTAGCGCTTTTTTATGAATTATATTTCATTAACATTTTTTCGGTTAAGAGAAGTGCTAAATAATTTCTTTAATTTTGTATACACAATGGCAGGTATTGAAATTTTATGGCAATTTTTGTATATTTAGGAATAATTGAAAGGTGATATTAAATATATTTGCATTAAAAATAGGGAAAATGGATAATATAGTCATAAAGGTAGGCCAAAATTTACCATAGAAGTTAAAAATTTAATAATTTATTTCTTTTTTTAAATTATAAAAATAAACCTCGGAAAATAAATATTGGTGAGATTATTGTTTAATTGGGACAAAAGACAGTTTCGAATTTTATAAAAATTTAAAAAAAAATATTCTTTCCAATTTTATTTCATAATTTCCACCCTGGACCAATTCGGAAGAATAACAAACAGCAGCATGTTTGTCAGCTTCTGATTTGGTGGTAAGTTGATTTTAAAGGATTGCTATATAATTTGTAACAAATTTTTTCAGTGGATATAGAAGATCTAAAAAATGTCTACCCAAAAGGGATACGTAGGTCGACTTATGATTAATCGATTATTCGACTTGTGTTGTTAAAAATTCTTAAGTTCTTTGGTTGAAACCATGGTAGAAAAATACAGGTAGATGCATCAACGCTTGGGAGCATTGATATGTCAAAAATTTTTAAATTTCTTTTCAAATATAAGTAGATTTTTATATGTTTTCTTATACGACACAAATCGTGGGTTGTAAAGATATGGATTTTTCAACAATTTTTACAAGTTTAAACAATTTTTCATTCAACATTTTCAATTCCAAAATTGGTTTGACAGTTCATTGTCCCAGCAGCTGCGTCGATGCGTCTACCTATATTCTTCTACCATGGTTGAAACCATAAAAGTTGTGATCCACAACCTGCAATAAGGTACTATTTTACTTGAATACCGTTCCAATACCCAAAAACCTTGCTGGCCAAATTTTTACGGGTAACAAATAGCAGGATGATTATCCGCTTCTGGTTTGGTGGTAAGTTGATTTTAAAGGATCGCCATCTAATTTACAACAATTCTTTACAGTGGATATGGAAGCTGTAGAAAATATAGGTTAGTAGGGGTATATAGGTCGTTTTTTGTTTAATTGTTTATTCGACTTATATTTTGTTGCTAAAACGTCAATGTATCGAAATCGACTTTTGCCTGGGCTACAAATCTTTTATATGTTAGAGCTTTTTAGATTTTGAAATCATGGACTTTTGCCGATTTTGGGGGGTTTATTATTAAAAAAAAAAAACCAAAAATACCAACCATGTCATCTGTTTGGCAGAACTACACTTCAGAAAATCTAAAATCGAAATTGATATTAGTCGATTTTGGTGTGAAAAGAAGTTCGATTTGAGACTGATTAAACGGAACAAAATCAAAGGATCAGTTTTTCCATTGAAGACAAAAATCGAAAAGTCTAAAGGCCATAGCAGAATGAACTTATTGAGCCATTTTGCACATTAAATATTTTCAATAAAACAACAAAAAATATTCTCGATAAAACAACAATTACAAGAAGATGGTTTTGCAATTTAAAATAGAATAAAAATTAATTATTATTTTCCATAATATTTGCTTTTTTATTTTCACCACTTAAATTGTAGAAAAAATGTGCCTATTCCACAATTCCAGTTAATTTGTGTTGTTGTTTTCGTTTTTTTTTTTTCAGTCTTTGTAATAAAAGCTGTCTGTAAATATTTGCATTTAATCAAAGAAGCAAAAAAATAAAAAAAAAACATTTCAAGTATGCCAACAGACACGTGTTTTAATGCCACATTTATTGCTGACTTATGCAATTAACTATTAATTTGTTACTACAGCAAAAAACTAACACAAAAAAACAGCAACAAAAAATAAAATAAAACGAAATTGCAGCTATGACATGGATCCAACATTTGCTGTTTTCTAATATTTTTTTGCTGTTTTCCAATTTTGAATATCAAAAAGAGAATTACTTCACAAATAAAGTTCTGGAATGGAAAAATAGTCAACAATTGAAAACTAGATGACGATGTCATAAAACATATCTTCTTTTCTTTCTAAAAATGTCATCATCCTCCTTCTAACATTTTTTCAGCAGGATCAAGTCGCTTGATGCCACAGATAGGTCTAATAGATTCTTAGAAAAAAACTAAGCATTTTCTTGGCTCTCAAAGCCCAATCATAAATGAAGAAAAGCGCCATCTATGTGTCATCAAGGTTTAGGTGTATACAAGTAAGTACATAGCCTACTTTTGGGCTGAATGTATTATAGGCTTTGGTTCTTTACTTGGTAATGGTAAAATTCGCTGGTATAAAATAACTCTCTCTTTAATGTAAAATAACTGAAAACTAGTGAACATTTAAAAACTAGATGGCAATCTTAGCAAATGAATGAATAGATGTTGCGGTTTTTTTACCTATTGTTTGATCGGCCAAATAAAAAGTAAAAAATTAATTTTTTTCATGGGAAATAATAAAAATATTCAATAAATAAATATTAAGAAAAATATTCAAAATAGAAGATTTTGGTTTAGGTTGCTCAAAGCTATTGTAAAACAATTACATGAACTTATGTGGGACTAAAATTGACACCTTAGACGGAACATAACCTTTCCTTTATAAATCGGAAACTACTTTTTGGGAAGAGTTCTATAGCAACTAATAATTATTTCTTAAAAGTCCTCAGAGTTCGGATAAGATTGAAATTTAATAAAATCGGTATTCTCTACGCTTTCAGAACAAATTTTGTAAATTATGAAGAGCGCCATCTATGTGTCATTCTTCTCCATCGAAGTTTAGTTGCCTGATATGGTCTAATATGAACAGCATACATTTGGGCAAAATATAGCATTAGCTTTGTTCCCTTAAAAAATGTTTCGGGAAGAAACTACATAAAGCTCAAGAACCGAAAACTATTTATAATCTCAAAACTAGATGGCAATTCTTTTAAAGGTAATTCAAGAGAACGGTGTTTTAGTCTTCAAAGGAATTGTATTTCCAGAAACACATTCTTTCTCATTTTTATTAATGTTTGTATTTCAGACTTTTGTGTAATACGTCAACTGTTATTGTTTGAATGAATGAATTTGTGTATTTATTATTATTATCATTGTTTCATTTTCATCATCGTCCAAATCACTTGACAATAAAGTAGTATTTTTCCCCGGCTAATGGAAAACTTATCAGTTATTTTCAATCTAATTATAAACAAAAATTCCGACAATATGTATTTGTTTTGCTCTCATGGCAATTACATAAGTAATTTGTTTTCGGAAAAAATAGAATTTTATTTTATTTTTTTTGTTACTAATTGTTATAAACATAGAGTATGAGGATTTGATTTGAAGAATTGATCAAACACGGTCACGTGATGTAGAAATATACATCACTAGAGATTTATGTTTTTAATTTGTTTCGTGGAGATTTTCGGCCGATTTGTTATTAAATAAGGTTGATTGCCTAGGTTTTAGGACATCTCATGGAAGAATTGAATGGTATTATTCTGCTTTTAGTTTAATCAAATATTAACTCGAATTAAATGCCTATTAATATTATATGCAACATGGTGGTTCAAAATTTTTTTCAGTTTGAAAATATTGCAAAATATGCTTTTTCTTCTTAAAATAAAATAAATATTTTTGAATTATTTGTTTTTTTTTTCTTCTAAATGTGATTACCCTTAAAATGATTGATCAGATTGGTGAATTTACGTTTTGAATTTTCTTTTAGCATAGAAAGCATATGCATTGGCGTAGGCACATAGGCATTGAGGGAGGGTGAAATTCCGAGATACTTTTTTTAGAAGAATGTGTAACATTATTTAGAAAACATTTAAATTTGAATTTTATGGGGCATCACAAATTTATTATGAAAATATTAATTTCGAGGAAGAAGCTGGAAATTGTTTTGAGAAGCCGCCTGGGGACCCAAGCTCTCTTCCTATCCTTCTTCTAATAAAACCTTTAATAGAAATATCACAACTTTGTACTCTAAAATCAAAATTCTAACGTTTAACTTACCGTGGCTACGGACGACCTAGTTATCCCTTGAAGTTAGGGATACGTAAGTCGACTTTCGCCTTTTGGTGTTGAAAGGTCTAAAAATCAGTGTTGGCTTTGATATAGTTAATATCACAAAATATCAGTTGATATAGTTATTATCACAAAATGTGTGTTTCAGAATCTGCAATATAGTTCTATTTGTGACATTTTGAACTTGAACACCGTCCTGTAGCCGAAAAACTAGTAAAACTAGTTGTGATCCACAACCTGCAATATAGTACTACTTTACTTGAATACTGTTCAACCGTGTAACAAATAGCAGCATGAATCTCCCCTTCTGTTTTATTGTGAAGTTGATTTTAAAGGATCGCCATCTAATTTGCCACAATTCTTTACAGTGGATATGGAAGCTTTAGGAAATGTCTACGTAGTAGGGGTATGTAGGTCGACTTTTGTTTAACTGTTTTTTCGACATTTCTTGTTGAAAAGTCTGTGAGTCGAGATCAACTTTTGCATGGGGTACAAATCTTTTATATGTTAGAGCTTTTTAGATTTTGAGATCACGAATTTTAGTCGATTTTGGGTGTTTATTATTTAAAAAAAAAAACAAGAAAAAGTCAATTTTGTCATCTGATTGGCAAAACTACACATCAGAAAATCTAGAATCGATATGAGTCGACTTTGGTGTGAAAAGTCGAGATGGAAAATCGATTTGTGACTGATTGAACTGGACAAAATTAAAGGACCAGTTTTTCCATTGAAGATAAAAATTGAGAAGTCTAAAGACCATAGCATAATGAACGCGTTGATCCATTTTACACATTAAATATTCTCAATAGAACAACAATTACAAGAAGATGGGTTTACTGTACGTCTTTTCACGGTTGATGGTTTTTCAATATTGTTTAATGTGAAAAATGACTCAACGTGCCCATTCTGTTTAGCCCTTACACTACGTTTACATATAAATGGGTTAATCCACTGGATTTGTATAACAATTGTCATATCCATTACTTATACTTAAAGTAAATCCTCTTAAAGTAGGTTAACTCTGCAATAAGTTCTAACGTACACATGGCATTAAAAGTAGACGCCACTGATTTCAATTTTTCACTTTTTTTTGGCTTTTTAAGCAAACATGCGCTAATGTTGCACAATAAAATGTACAAAAATCTAAAGTATAAGAATGAAGGAAAAAGATAAGAATTAAGAAGCGAAAAAAATATGTAAAGCACGTGTAAATATAAACATGAACTAATTATGCAAAAGAAAGAGCTATAAATTTATACAAAGGAAAAAAAAAACAATTACAACAACAAAGCATTAAATCAAAATGCAATTATTTTCATTACCGAGTTTTGGTTTGGTTTCCTCAAAGATTTCATTAAAACTGTTTTGATCCCAGACAAGGACATGACCGTTGCGTTGGCGATTTTCGCTTTGGTGGTGCAGCGGTTGCGGGCGTGTCAAAGTCATTTTGTTTGAGGATTTTGTTTAATAAATTAATGCACTTAATATTAATTATAAATAATAACTTAGATAATTTGTTGGGTTTGTTATTTTTTTTTTTGGTATGAGTTTGAGCAAGGAACGTTTGAATTTTTTGTTATTTTGAAATTTTATTGTTGTTGTTGTTTGTTGTAGAAGCAAAAAGTATTGTCAACACTTTTTACGCACACGTTTAAACCATTTCATGTTCTACCGCGAATTTTTTGAAATTTGCCTCATTTCCGGATTTGTTTTTTTACTTTTTAATTAGATTCTGTAATTATTTCAAATATTTTTTTCCGATTTTTTGCTTTTATTTTGTGAAAAAAATGCCAGCACTTTTGCTTGACTTTTTTCTGCTGCTGCTGTTCGTTATGTGGTTTTCAGAAAACTAAATTCTGCGTTGTGAATTTTCCTCTGTTTAGCGCGGCACAAGAATTTCGAAAATGCTGTTCTATGTGCTTTTTTTTTGCTAGTTGTTGTTATTGTTGTTCGCTTAGAGCTTCAAAATGCAAATACGTTGGCTGTAATAACTGGCTTCTCTTCTCTCTTTGTGTAATACAGCTGAGTTCTCTTGTAAATTTTTTCTACAACGGAAATGATTTCACTCTCTTTGTTAGAATATTGCAAATTTTCGTTCGAGTCCGGCGAAGGGTCTTTCGCGTATTTAAATTTCTATCTTCTTGGCGCGCCTTCCGTTTTTCAACTGACACACGGCCAAGTGTAACGGCAAACTTTTATCTTTTTTCAAAATGAATTTTTGTTTTTGTTTTCTTGCACTGCTGTCTGTCTATGTTGGCCAGCTAATACGTGCATGTACGAGTATGCCCGCCGCATCTGTGTTGGTGTGCTGTGTGTGAAAGAGAAATGTTTCTCTTCTGATCAGAGGGTGATTGTCATTCGTGTGGATCAGTTTGGGGTAGTTGGGGGATATAGTGAGAAAGCTTTGCTAGTGGGGGCTTTTTGTGTTGGTGTGATTGTTGTGTGGGATATAAAAAAGGGAAGGCAAGGGTGCTAAAATGGTTTACTGATATTTAACACCAACAATGTTAAGGTCGGTTTAGAATACCTCCACACACACACACCCCCTTTTTAATAGCAAGCAAGCATTTATACCTTTGGTATGTAGACAACAATGAGTCCATAGTTTTGTTGTTATAAACATTGGTATTTACTTTAAACCATATAGTTTAGATGTGATCTAATCAGATGGGTGGTTATGAAAAGTATTGCTCATCGTCAATTACTAATTTTTAACTTAGTCCATGGTAGAAGAATATAGGTAGTCGCGTCGACACAGCTGCTGGGACAATGAACTGTCAAACCAATTTTGGAATTGATAATGTTGAATGAAAAATTATTTTAATTTGCAAAAATTTTTTGAAAAACGCGAATTATAATAGCCTCCTTCTAACTTAGAATAAGAAAACATATAAAAATCTACTTATATTTTAAAAAACATTTCAATTTTTTTGACATTTCAATGCTCCCACGCGTTGATGCATCTACCTGTATTCTTCTGCCATGACTTAGTCGAAAATATAGATCGACTTTTAAGGCCTAAACAGAATGGGCGCGTCAAGCTTTTACGAGTTAAATACTTACTCAATGCTGAACATGGTCCCATGTTTGTTGTGTTATCGGTAATATTTAAAGCAAATATTTCGACTTTTTGAACATTCAATTTGGGCCAAGAAAATAAATCTCGAATATCCGTATTTGACTTTTCAAACCAAAGTCGTCGAAGAATTTTAAAAAATCAATTAAAAAAAGTCGACTTGCCGATTTGTTACCTAGACTTTTTAACATCAGAAGTCGATTAAACGATTAATCGAAAGTCGACTTACGTATCCCTATTTCCAACAGAAGATGTTTTAAAGTTAAAAATCGAAGTTTATATTTATATTTAATGCAAATATTTCGACTTTATGAACCTTCAATTTGGTCCAAGAAAATAAAAATCAAAGTTTCGCATTTGACTTTTCAAACCATAGTTGACTAAAATTGATTTCGATTTTAGACTTTTAAAAAATCAATTTAAAAATGTAGACTTGGGGATTTCTTTTTTTAGAGTTTTTAAAATTAAAAGTTGACTTACGTAGGGATAGAACAGAAGATCTTTTGAAGTTAAAAATCAATATTCGAATTTAACTGTTTGAAACAAAGTCAACTAAAATCGATATCTATTTTAGACTTTTTGATGTAAAATTATGTCAAACAGATTAAAAAAATTATATTTGGACTTTCTGAGCAGTATTTAATAAATATAAATAATAAGCTTTGATGTGTAAGCTTATGAGAAAAATGAGCAGTTGACAAAAAATCGATGACCTCAAAATCGTCTTATAGCCTCAAAAGGTCTTACAGCATATTCAATATCTAAACTAGACAACAAGCCTCGTTTAAACGATTAATCGAAAGTCGACCTACGTATCCCTATCTCTAATAGAAGTTAATGTTAAAGTACATAAAAGCTTTTCTGACCGGTTTAAGTCATCGGCTGACTTCTTCGTAAAGGAACAAAGGAGTTTTAGGTTGACTTAGTTCGATTTTGACCCTTCGCTCCTTTGTTCTTTTCGGGGAAGCGTTTTATGTATTCTCACCTTTATTTTTTCTTTTCTGGCGAAAATAGGGCTCGCTGTGGTCGAAAAAGTACACGTGTGTTTTTTTTTCTCATGGGAAATCTATTGATCTTTTCGTAGAAAATTACATATTTTCAAATAGTAAAAATTTTCCCCTGATCACATTGGCATTCTTTTCACCAACGCCAACCAGCCAAAAAAAATTGCCGGTCGGTCACGAGATCAACATAGTTTTCTTTTTTCTTTTCTTTCGCGTATGCGTTTTTTGCATGATCTTGCGTAGATGATTTACTTGCGTTTTCGTCGTCTTCCAATTTAGTTTAGCTAAACAATTTTTTTTATTTATTTTTAGTGAACTTTAAGAAGACGAAAGTCCATTAACATGAGTTTATTGGTCTGTTTTTGTTTCTTTTTGTGGTTTTATGAAAGAATGAAAAACAACAAATAAAATAAAACAAGAACGAAGCGTTTGGTAATTGGTTGTAGTTGATGTACTCATTGTGTTTTGGCTTTTTTGCTCTGATTATTGCTCTACAATTGGCACAAAAATGTGGCTAAAATGAAAACTTTTTTTTTGAATGGCCGCTGGTCTGTTTTGGGACACCAAAAAAATGAAATAAAATAAACAAAAGAATAATGCTGATGATGTGATTGTTATTTAAATAAATGTGGTATAATTATTATAATTTACGAACAAAAATTATGGAAAATTTTCAATCACTTTTTGCTATATAATTTCCGCTTAAAAATAATAATTAGCATTGTTGCATTAACGTATATAAAATGGCATTTTATTTTACTACAGTCTACTTCCTTTTCAAAAGAGAGAGATAGAGAGAGTTTTGTATTTCTTCGAAGAGAAAAAATTTCAAATTTATAAAAAAAAAATTGTCGAATTACCAACAATTTTTTTTCTACAATGTTTGGGACCTCCTTCTACCAAGAATAATTCCAACAATTTCCACATGGACTATAACCTATTTCATCATCTCATCATCTCAATATCCCATGGTTTGCTTCCCCTCCTGTTATCTCAATTATATTTACACTACCAATAATCATATGTTATCTCGAGTAACCTGCCAAGAGATCTGTTCATGTTATTCATTCATGTCTACATGGTATACCGTCTATACCTTGTGATCTGTAGTAAACGTCATATTGTTACTGCTGCTACTAATGTTGTTGTTGTTATTGTTTATTGATCACATTGATCATTCATGGGAAATTAAAAAAAAATACTGCAATTCATTCATTGATCTATGGCCATTAAATCATGCCAATATTTTAGGACCAATGACTCATGCCAGGGAATTCTTTTTATTGATCTAGTCTACCCTAATCTTAGTGGGTAGAGAATTCAACCGATATATTATAGGGTAATTAATTAAATTATATAATAGAGGAAATATATAATAGTAATTGCCTGTATTTTTAATCGCAACCCTATTTTTGGGGAAAAAAACTATTTTTTTATTTTCTCGTCTGCAGTTGCCAAAAGCTTTCAAACATGAGCATGTTATCGATTGATAAATTACAAATGATTGATAAATTGATGTTAGGGAATCTTAGAGCATGTTTAGACTAATAAATCCACTCGTTTTTAAATGTCAATTCCATGGCGTATACGTTACGTCATGGTGGAAGAAGAAAGGAAGTCGCATCGACCTAACTGCTGGGACAATGAACTGTCAAACCAATTTTGGAATTGAAAATTTTGTCTGAAAATTTATTGAAATTTGTAAAAATGTTTGAAAAATGCGTATCATAACAACGTCCGATTTGTGTCGTCTAAAAAAAACATATAAAAATCTAATAATTTTTGACAAATATTTTAAAAAGTTTGACATATCAATGTTCCCAAACGTTGATGCAACTACCTGTATTCTTCTACCATAAAAATAGGGACTACTAAATCCACTCATTTTTAAATGTGAATTCCATAGCGTATATGTTACGTTAATCGTATTCAGAGATCTCAGATCGCCAAATGGAAGATGGCGGATATTCTAAAGAAAGATTCCTGTTTTTATAAAAGAAGATCACTGATCATCTAAATAAAGACCTCTTTCCTTCTTTATGAAGATCTCTCATCTTCTATAGGAAGATATTTCTTTCTCTATGGGAAGATCACCGATCTTCTGTAGGAAGGTCTTGGAAGTTCTCACAGAAAAAAATCCTAAAGATAAATAATCTGAATTTTCATCATCCGATCTCCACCCTAGTATCCAATACAAAAATAAAAAAGCGGAAATAATTTTATTCCGTTGTATATATTTTCAATATTTTACCGGCATCATAATCTGACATTGACTATTGCGAAATGTTATGCTGTTTTTGAAGATTTATATGTTGTCATTTTTGTTGCTGTTGTTATTTTTTTATCAAAATTTTACATTGCATTTGTAGCTGTGATGATGGCGGTGGTTGATTGTGGGCCGGCGCTATTTATATATTCAGAAATACATTATGGCTCAAAAAAAAAAAAAAAAATAGATATTTTCTGTGGCTGGTAAGAGATGTAGAGGTGATTGAAAAATGGAAGAAAAGGTCAAAAGATGCCACAGGATTTATGGAAAATATTGTAACAGAAAATATTGTCGGGGTTGATTTTTCAGACATTTTTTGGCACACATGGATGAGTGAGTAAGACAAAAACAAATCTAAATTGTGTTTTTTTTCTTTTGCAAATGACATTTAAAGTATGTTTACACTTACTAAATCTAGTGGATTTCAACTGTCAATTCCCCAGCGTATACGTCAAATGAAATCGACTCTCAAATTTACTGGATTTCATTTGACGTAAACACAATGGAATTGACAATTGAAATGCACTGGATTATTTTTATGTCTCTACGGCGATTTAGGATTTTAAAGAAAACAATAATAAGGTTTATTTTTAAAAGTTATTCCAAATTTCTTAAATGGCTTTTGAGATTACAAAAAATCACAATTTCGACCATCTATCCGTAATTTCGACCACCTATCTATCAACCCCACAAACGTCAAGATTCCTATCAACAAAAAAACAACTCTCGTGATTAAAAACCAATCCCATTTTTTAATTTCCAGCAACAATAAATAAATTTTCTATGACGACAGGAAGTTATCTAAGATCTAAACA